TTTTTTTTTTTTTTTTTTTTTTAACGTGGGGGCCCAGTGCCCAAGGCTCAAATTACAAATTGAATACACACACGCCGCTTCCCATTAGGGCTGGAAGAGCCTCACCCACTGCACCTGCAGAGACAGCTTCCCTAGACAACGACAATAGAGCATGGGCATATGCAATGTAAGCATATGTACAATCCCACTGCTAAAAGGAAAAAGGAAAAAACCAAGCGGGCTTATATCCGACAACACCCCAGCCAAAGGCGTACATCAGATGACACCGCTTTCTCTTGAGCCCAGGCAAATGCACAACAAATACAAACACAAGCAATACGACTCAGGCCCGCCAGGGGAGCCGCAAAGGAGTAGTAGTTGAAAATGCCACGGGTTTTTGCGCGTTGTATCGAATTAAACCACATTCTCCACCGCTTGTGCAGGCCCCCGTCAATTCCTTTGAGTTTCAGCCTTGCGACCGTACTCCCCAGGCGGAGTGTTTAACGCGTTAGCTAGGTCCCTCATTGGTTGAACAACCAAGACTGCTCTCTGTATACGGACTACGAATACGTCAAAAAAAAGGGGACTAGAATACTTCAAAAAAAAGGGAAGAGAAATACTGTACGAGTTTGCGCAGTGTGGTTACCATACTAGAGTACTCTTGTGTGTAGCTGGGTTGGAGCGTGGTGACCCGGTTTCTGCTCAGCCAATGAGCCTAGCATTTCCTTGTGGTCACCTGACATGATGAGAGGGAAGTTGGACCCATTTCTCGGCAATAAAAAATCGCCAACATGGTGATTATGGAAGAAAGAAAAAAAGTGGACCTGACTCTATATGAAAATTTAGTACAATCTCTTTCCAAGCTTTTTTCCCTTGAAAGGAACACAGGTCCAATTTAGGGGCCTTTGGAATGAAGGCATTTTCCGAAAGGTATCAGACTTTTTTCGAAAGGCTGCTCAGCCAAAGGAGTCCCCCCCCCTCGCCACACAGGCTTTCGAAACACCGAGGCCTTTCTATATATGCACATTAGGGCCTTGCTCACCGTGTGAAAGGAGTGTGAAACTTTGGCTAGCACATGGAAAGATACACCACAATATTTTTTGTCCTTTGTGCATGTCCCGAGTAGTGGAGGCAGGCCCTTGTAATCGCCCCTTTTTCTTTTTTTCTTTTTTTTTTGCCAATAGACCGTTTCAAGTGGGCCTTTTCATAAGACCACTCGAGGTCTTTCGAAAGGCTGGTGACAGGCGGGCGGATCTTTTTTTTTTTTTGTTCAGGGCT